CGGTTTCCCTCCCTGGAAGGTAAGGGCATCGCTTAGCTGCCCCTAAACTCTCTTTTTCCGCTGGGAAGACCCGTCGGAAAACAGTCCTTTCTCACATGTGGGCTTCACACCATTGCTGACATGGAGTGGACTTGGAACAGGAGCACCAGGGGCTCTGCGGATGTGGGGGACACAGCCCCCTCTGCGGATGTGGGGGACACAGCCCCCTCTGCGGATGTGGGGGACACAGCCCCCCTCTGCGGATGTGGGGGACACAGCCCCCTCTGCGGGTGTGGGGGACACAGCCCCCCTCTGCGGACGTGGGGGACACAGCCCCCTCTGCGGACGTGGGGGACACGGCCCCCTCTGCGGAGTGTGTAGCTTTCTCCCTCCCCCTGGTTCTGAGGAGAGAAGGGACCAAAGCTGACCAGGGGATTCCTGAGAACATAGAGGGTCAGGTCAGGGGAGGCTTCACCCTCACCCAGGCCAGGAGGGGAGAGCAGCCAGGAGAGAAACAGGAGATGGCAGTGGGGGACTCAGCGAGGGGAGCGAGGGGTGTCAGGGGGCTCAGCGAGGAGAGCAGGGGTGTCAGGGGGCTCAGCAAGGGGAGCAGGGGCATCATGGGGGGCTCAGCGAGGGAGCGAGGGGCGTCATCGGGGGCTCACCTCAGCCCTCCGCATGCCTCTCACTGAGGCCCCGGGATCTTGGGTGTAAGTGCTTCACCTCGGGGAGGGGAGGAGCCTCAGTTTCTCTGTGAAGTGGGGCAGCGTCGGCTGAGCCTCCCCCAAAGGGCGTGTGTGACCTGAGGTCAGGGACAGGCCGAGCGCATGTCCAGCCGAGAGCGAGGCTTTCGTGTTACGTCCACACGCGCTGTCTGTCTGCACTCTGGCTGGGTGTGGGTGCCGGCTGGGTGTGGGTGCCGGCTGGGTGTGGGGTGGTGGCTGGGTGTGCGGTGCCGGCTGGGTGTGGGGTGGTGGCTGGGTGTGCGGTGCCGGCTGGGTGTGGGTGTGGGCTGGGTGTGGGTGCCGGCTGGGTGTGCGGTGCCGGCTGGGTGTGGGGTGCCGGCTGGGTGTGGGGTGCCGGCGGGGTGTGGGTGTGGGCTGGGTGTGCGATGCCGGCTGGGTGTGCGGTGCGGGCTGGGTGTGCGGTGCCGGGGTAGAGGCTGTGGTCCCCGAGGTCACAGGGAGGACGCTGGGGGTGGGGCACTAACAACTCAGACCCAGCCGGGAGCTCGAGAAGACGGGGGAGCGGGTGCCCGTGCAGTGCCCGCGGCTGAGACAGGCTCCTGGGGCGGCCGACGGCAAGGACTGAGGGAGCCTCTTCTGCTCGCAGGGGAAGGTGGGCCCTCCCAGGCCCGGCGCTTTCCGCAGGAGGAACGGAGCGGCGCTGGCGGGCGTCCAGTGGGGCCCCGTAGGCCCAGCTCGCTGTCTCGGGAGGGACCCGGGGGATGGAGGGCACGGCCGCTGCCCGGCCTCGGGTCAGAGCGGCTCCTCCAGGGCAGGCTCTCCCGGCGGGCCTCCCCCCTCCCCGCGCTGGACCCCCTGCTGCTCATCTCTGAGCCGCGCAGAGGCACCTGCAAAGCTGCGGGAAAGCCATCCACCCAGCGTCACCCATTTCCTCTGCTGAAGTGGACAGTCAGGTGTCTTCTGGGGAATGCATGTGCGCGCACACACACACATGCACACACACACACTCATGCACGCTAGGCACCATACATGCATGTACATGTATGCATACAAGGCACCGTACATGTGTACACACAAACAGACATGCAGAAGCTCATTCATGCACACACTCATGCACATACAGGCACCATACATGCATGCACGTGCATGCACACACACACTCACACACGCTGGCTCTGGGGGCCTCGTGAGTAACAGGAAGAAGGAAATGTGAATGAACCCTTTCTCACTCAAGGAACTCACCTGAGGGGCGGCCCCAGCCTGGCTTCCTCCTCCGGCCGCGCACAAGGGGCCCATTCTGGCCGCGGCTCTTGGGCTCGGCTGACCCCACGCACTTTTGTTCCCCTGGTTTGGCGAGAGCTGCGGCTCGTCACTGCCCTGCGTCCTCAGAGCCCCTTCCTTTGTTCCAGTTTCCTTGGGTTTGAGTATTTGTTGTTGTTTCAACACCACTCGTCACGGCCACGGCAGGGCTGGCAGGGCTACGGGTGAGCGAAGCCGTGGGTCTGACGGCTTCCTGAGACCCATGTGGCCCGCTCTCCGGGGGGGCCCGGGGCAGCTTCCCGGTCCCCGGCCACACCTGCCACCTGAGGGCACGGGGCACAGCCGGCTCTCAGCCGGGCGGCGAACTGTGACCCCCTTTTTTATTTATGTTTTAAAATATATTTTTATTGATCTCAGAGAGGAAGGGAGAGAGAGAAACATCCATGATGAGAGAGAATCATGGATCGGCGGCCTCCTGCACGCCCCACACTGGGGATCGAGCCCGCAGCCCGGGCCGGTGCCCTGACCAGGAATGAACCCTGACCTCTGGTTCCTAGGTCAACGCTCAACCACTGAGCCACGCCAGCCAGGCTGTTTTTAGTTTCACTAAAGAAATGGTGGCAGCCTGTGTGAGGCCCTTCTCCCTGTTGCTCTTTGTTAGCAGTTACATGTACGGGGGACATCTATATATATACAAGCCTTAGCGACTGTTACAACCAGACGACCGGCCGGTAGCCATGACGTGCACTGACCACCAGGGGGCAGATGCTCAATGCAGGAGCTCCCACAGCCAACCTCCCCTCGGCCAGCCCTGATCAGCCCGATAGCCGGCCAGGCCCAAGGACCCCACCTGTGCACGAATTCGTGCACTGGGCCTCTAGGTGATTAATAAACCACACAGTCTTCACGTGGGCAGCTCGACGACGCATGCTCTGAAGACGGCACCATGTGCCCACCACCCACAGCCATGGCCCTGTGTCACCATAGGGCTGGCCCTGCACTGCCCACCCCCTCTGGTAACCACCGAAGTACGGTCTCTGTCTGAGTCTCAGTTTATGTCCCACATGTGAGTGAAACCATGTGCCTCCGGACTCTTTCTTCTGACTTGTTTCGCTTGATGTTCGTTCTAAGGTCACCCACGTTTCACAAACGGCACTGTTTCCCCTTTCCTCGCGGCTGAGTGCTAAGTGTTCCCAGCGTGCGTGTGCCCCCTCTGCATCCACCCCATCGAAGGACACGTCGGCTGTCTCCTGTCCTGCCGCGTGGAGGAGGCCGCAGTGAGCGTGGGGGTGCACATCTCTGCGAATAAGCTTTCAAACGTCTCGGGGAGAAGCCCAGCTCAGCGTCCTGCTCTTCGCAGCCGTTTTCGTTCGTGAGCAGCACTCTGGCCCCTCTCTTCCCCTGGCCGTGCTGTTGAAGATGCTCTGGCCAGTGGGCCGGGAGAAGGGGGCCGCCTGGGAGGGAGCTGCTCTGCTGGGGGTCCCCCAGGGACCCCCTCTCCCCACAAGAGGAAGACCTGTCTGTACGGGGTCTGTGACCCACACAGAGCTCCCGGGACAGGTGGGCCCTGGCGCGAAGGGCTCACCTGGTGGCAGGTGGCCCAGTGTATTCTTCCTGGTCCAAGACCTTCCTGATGCGGGGACACCACCCCGTCCCCCCCGGGACACGCCCGGCAGCTTTGACTGACAGCTGGGCTCCCTCCACTTCCTTCTCTGCTTCTGCTGAACAAAAGCTCCCAATCCCTTGTTGTCTTAGGGCTTCGCTGCTAACCACAGGGATCAAGGACGGGTCAGCCACGGGAAGGCGTGCGACGGTGAAAGCTTGCCCGCTCTCAGGACGACGTTCCCGGTCTGAGCTGGGCTGTCCACGGCTGCTCAGGGTTACCTGGTGGGACCCTCGTGCCTCGTGCTCACTCAGGCCTTGTTCCCCGTCCGGTCTCCCCACTCTTGGGTGCGGGTGACTCCTGTAGGGGTTACTGTCTCAGGGAAATTGCCAAAGGCGTCGGATTTGGGTGCTTTTCTGCAGGTTCCCATGGCAAGTGGTGTTAATACTTCCAAGGGGGGTGAGGGGGAGAGATCTGTAATATTATCAACAATGAAAAATACTTTAAAAAATTAAATAAATACAATAGCTACAAAAAACACCCAATAATTTTCCTCCATAAAAAAATATGAATAAATAGCCCAGCCAGTGTGACTCAGTGGGTGAGCATCGACCTGTGAACCAGGAGGTCAGGGCTTGATTCCCGGTCAGGGCACAGGCCCAGGCTGGGGGCTCATCCCCAGTGTGGGGTGTGCAGGAGGCGGCTGACCCGTGATTCTCTCTCATCATTGATGTTTCTCTCCCTCCCTCTCCCTTCCTCTCTGAAATCAATATATTTAAAAGTGTTTACAAAAAACCTTGGAGAGGGGCTGTGCACAAGGCAGGGGGAGGTCAGGGCTGGTTTTGTGGGTTTGCGAGGTCCGTCCCAGCCCCGTGACCGCCAAGAGCAGGATCCGAAACCCCGTGAGATGTCAGGTGGCCCGGCCGGAGCCCCGGTCCTCGGCCCTGTGCCGTGGGAATAGTGTGAGATCCAGACGCCAGAGCTGCTGCTCGCCCGGCCACGGCCTTGGCCTCTGTGGACTCGCCCCAGCTCCTCCCGCCCCGTCTGTGTGAACGCTGCCCTCGCTCTCCCAGGCGAGGGGCCAGTGTGTGGCCCTGCCAGGCCCGCCCGGCCCAGAGAGGGGCCTTCCCTTTGGCACCGGGGCTGTTTGCCCAGCAGCCCACATCCTGCTGGGGCTGCCTTCCCACGAGCTCACCGAGTCCTCGGGGGCGAAGATGGGGCCCCGCGGGCCGCGTGCCAGGAGGAAGTTGGAAGCGGGTCCCTCAGGTCCGCGCGGCGGCAGGTGGGAGCAGCCGCTGATCCGAGCGGCATCGATCGCACACGCCCACGTCGTCCCACAGCTCAGCCGGACCGTTACGCTTCCCCCTGTTGATTTATGGCATCAATAGGAAGGCCATGCCCAGGACACGCCTCCTGGAGGCTGGAACCCGTAAATATCGAGGCTCCGTGTCCCCCGGAGCAGAGCCGGCACCATGGGGCTCCCCAGCGTCACCCTGGTAACGTGTCTGCTGCTGGGCCGCGTCCTCCACGCAGGTACTGTCTCCTCTGCGGCTGCTCAGCTCACGGGCAAACCCCACTCGCGAGGATTCGGGAAGGAAGCGCTTTTCTGGTTGTTTCCGCCTGAGAAAGGCCAGGGTCGTGGTTAGACGAGGCCGGGGGCCGCGGGTCAGAAAGGCTCCTGCAGCGAGGAAGGGGCACCAGGCCTCCGCGTGGCCTTGGGGTGAACGCAGACAGGGGGCGGGAAGCCGGCCCTGCACGGCCCTCAGGGCGCTCGGCCGGCGGCTCTGGCTCGGTCACTCCTGTCGCCCAGGGCGCCGGCCGGGCAGCGGGGATGTGTGCACCACATGGGGCCACCAGCGGGCCGGCTGGGACACCCTCCTTTCCTTCTTTTTAAAATAGAATAATTTTATTGATGTCAGAGAGAAAGGGACGGAGGGAGAGAGAAACATCAATGATGAGAGAGAATCACGGATCGGCTGCCTCCTGCACGCCCCTCTCTGGGGATGGAGCCTGCAACCCAGGCCTGTGCCCTGACCGGGAATCGAACCGTGACCTCCTGGTTCCTAGGTGGATGCTCAACCCCTGAGCTACACTGGCCAGACAGGAAACGTGCAGTTTTAAATGTTTCCTTTTAACTTAAAACATAAAAACATGCTTGGACTCACCACTGCGCGGCTCGGGCTCCTGCCTCACTGGTCCCCCCTGCCAGGCTGCCCAGCGGCCTCTGAGCTTCGTGGACACGGACCCTCCCTTCTCGCACCTCCAGGTGGTGCCTCAGCCGCAGGGGTCAGACCCCCCAATCACGCGACAGGCCCAGCCAACCACCAGGATGCAGCCCCTCACTGCTCCGGGGGGCCTGACGGAAGGCCTGCGTTTAGGGGTTCTCACTCGGCCTTTTTACTTTGTATTTTCAGCAACACCAGTAACAGCAGACATGACGACAGTGACCTCGTCTAGGGAGACGTCTGTGCCAACCGGTAACCCTAGACCCCGGGGCGGAGCCGCAGTGGGGACCGGGGCCACCCCAGGATGCGGGCTTGGGCCGGCTGCGGGGTTCTGCTGGTTTCAGACGTAGGACGGGAAGGACGGCCCTGCTGGGTCCCAGTCCCTTCCTCTAACGCGTCTCCATGCTAGTCTCTGCCCAGCCACCCTTTTCCCTGAGACCTCTGCCCCCTCGCCCTGGGCTGCCCACGGGCGTCCAGTCAGCGGGAAGGGGCAGGGGGGCAGAGCATGACCCTGGCTCCCTGGGTGTGACCACACCTTTTCTCTGCTTTCCTAGGTTTCTTCACGGGCCCCCTGGGAGCGGAGGACACCTCTGCCTCGGCTGGTAACGTCCCTCTCTTTCCTCTTCTGGTTGTTGTCCCCCGGCACCCGCCTGTGCAGGACAGGCCGTCATTGGACCAAATCGTTCAAGGTCCTGGAAATATATACCCGGGGGCAGAATAGGGAGGCGGTTCAGAGTGGCCGCCCGCGTCCAAGTCCCGCCCGGCCCTCACCCGCCAGCCGGTCTCGGGTCCCCTTCCGCAGCCTCCGTTTCCCGGGGCTGTTTTGAGGGTGAACTGAGGGAACGCCCATAAAGCTCTCTCACGCGATCTGAGGTTTCGTGTTAGGAAACGCTCAGAATCGCCTCCACGATTACACCTTAAAAATCAGCGTCCTTGGCGTCTGCCTCTCTCCCTCTCCCTTCCTCTCTGAAATCAATACAAATATATTAAAAAAAAAAAAAAATCAGTGGCCTGCCCCGGCCAGCATGGCTCAGGGTTTGAGCATCAACCTAGGAACCAGGAGGCCGGGGTTCAATTCCCGGTCAGCGCACAGGCCCGGGGTGCAGGCTCGATCCCCACTGGGGGGCGTGCAGGAGGCAGCCAATGGATGATGTTTCTCTCTCATCATTGATGTCTCTCTCTCTCTTTGTCTCCCTTCCTCTCTCTGAAATCAATCTTTAAAAGTAGTTTAACATTTTTTTTACACATTCACTTATGTAACGGCCCCCCGAATGGCGGTCCCCCAGCGGACTCTGCTCACATTCCACAGTGCAGGGCGGACTCGCTGCCGCGGGGAACCCTGGCCCCAGTGCGACCGCCCGCTGGCCCAGCCCCGGCTCTGAGCACAGAGCGCACCCCAGGACGGTGAACTGCGGCGTGAGGGCGCCTGGCGGAGAGACCCACTTACCCCACCTAAACGAAGGGAACATCCCACACCCAACCCGTTTGTTTTCATCTAGAGCAGCGGTTCTCAACCTGTGGGTTGCGACCCCTTTGGGGGTCGAATGACCCTTTCACAGGGGTCACCTAAGACCATCGGAAAACAATCTATAATTACATATTGTTTTTGTGATGAATCACTATGCTTTGATTATGGTCAATTTGTCACAATGAAATTGGGGGTCAGCACAACATGAGGAGCTGTATTAAGGGGTTGCGGCATTAGGAAGGTTGAGAACCACTGATCTAGAATCACAAAACCCTGAGCAAGGATGCTGGAGGCAACCAGACCCACGGTGGACCCACTGCGCCCCCTGGCGGATTGTAAGGGGAAGCGCAGCCACTGCCTGGGGCTGGGGATCCTTTGCAAAGGGAACCCTCTCTGCTAAGGTGCCTTTGGTCTCTCTCCAGGGCCGTGGGCCACGCAGACGGAAGGCTATGACTACGGTGAGGCCTTTTCTATGGCTTTTATGGTGTTCCCAGGGGTGGTCCCCTGGCTGGGCCGGCCAGTTCTGCGCTGCAGCCGTTGGTGGTGGAGGCTGGGTGGCCACTAAAACCTTGTGTGGAGCCCCCGGGCTGGGGAGGCGGGTGTGGGGTCCTCTTTCTGGGGAGCTCCCAGAGCCCATGGGCAGGTCCTTGGGGGGCTGAGAGCGGGCTGAGACGGAGAAGCTGCTGGGACAGCAGGGGAGGCAGGTCCCCAGAGAGGAGAGGAGGCAGTGAGCGAGGCGGGCGGTGCAGAGAGGGGAGGGGAAGAGGGGGCGGGAGGCCAGTCCCAGCAAAGACCATGGCTTTCTTTTCTTTTAAGAAATGTTTTCATTTCTTTTTTTAAAATACATTTTTATTGATGTCAGAGAGGAAGGGAAAAGGAGAGAGAGAGAGAAGCATCAATGATGAGAGAGAATCACGGATTGGGCGCCTCCTGCTCGCCCCCCACTGGGGATCGAGCCCACAACCCAGGCCTGCGCCCTGACCGTGAATCGAACCCTGACCTCCTGGTTCATAGGTCGACGCTCAACCACTGAGCCACACTGGCCGGGCAGGGATGATGGCTTTCCCCTGTCCATGCAGGCTTGCCGCTGAGGCTGGTGAACGGCGCGGACCGGTGCCAGGGCCGGGTGGAGCTCCTGTACCAGGGCACCTGGGGCACCGTGTGTGATGACAGCTGGGACTCCCGGGACGCGGACGTGGTGTGCAGGCAGCTGGACTGCGGCAACTCGGTGTGGGCGCCCGGCGGGGCCCACTTCGGCCAGGGCTCGGGGAACGTCCTGCTGGGCACCGTGGACTGCGCGGGCTGGGAGCCCTCCCTGTCCAGCTGCCCCCACGGCGGCTGGTACCACCACGAGTGCGGACACAGGGAAGATGCCGGCGTCGTGTGCTCAGGTGGGGCCCCCTTCGACTGGCCAGGCACCCCGACCGCGCTGCGGACAGCGCCCCCTGCTGGCCCTAACACTGGGCCCACGCACGCGGTGCTGTGCAGCTCACCCCCGCTCCCAGCCACACCTCCTTCCGTGTTCGAGGGCAGGAATCATGGTCCCTTTTCTTTTCTCATTTAAAAAATATATTTTTATTGATTTCAGAGAGGAAGGGAGAGGGAGAGAGAGAGAAACATCCATGATGAGAGAGAATCATGGGTGGGCTGCCTCCTGCATGCCCCCCACTGGGGATCGAGCCCCAACCCGGGCCTGTGCCCTGACCAGGAATCTAACCCAGGACCCTCCAGTTCACAGGCCAGTGCTCTATCCACTGAACCACACTGGCTAGTGCAGAGGGTGCAGGTTCAGAAACGGCCCCTCCTCCTGGGGGCGAGGCCTCCCTCTCAGGAATATCTCCAGGGGGTGGGGGTAGACACGTGCCGTCTGCGGGTGTCTGAGCCGCAGGGCTGGGCACTTGGTATCGAGTCCCGTGCTGTGAATGAGGGCGGGAGTCCGCGGGTTCTGTGGTAGATTCTGTGGAAGGAAGCGCAGGAGGGGAGGGTGGTGACGGGCCAAGGGCCCCTGATCGAGGGGCAGAGGGCGAGTTCCGCCTCACAAGGAAGGGGCGTAGCCTCGCTGCCGGGTCTCCCGCCCCCACCTGCCTTGGAGCCCGGGCGGGAGGGCCACCCTCCAGGAGGCCCCAGCACTGACCTGTTCCCTCTGCTCTGCAGCTTCTCTGCTTTCCACGGTGGAGACCCTGGCAGTATCCACGGAAGGTACGCTTGTCATGTGGGATTTCTGTGCCCCACCCCCCCGCACCCTGACTGGGGAGAGGTGCAGGAGTGAGAGATGGGGTGCTCAGCTCCCAGAGCCTCTGAGTAAGGCCTCAGGCTGCAGGGTGTCCCCTTCCCGGAGCTCCAAGGTGGGGCTTGATGACCCACATTAAGGGGGTCCAGCCACCCAGGCCCAGGGCCCACCCCCGTGGCCCGCCCAAGCCACGCTGGCCCCTGGCCAGGCTCAGGCGCTGGGATTCGGGCTGCGGGGCCCAGCGAGGCAGGTGCACACCTCTGAGCAGCATCCTGGCCTGTGCCCTCCCTGAGCCCCCATCAGGGCACCTCGGACCATCTCAGCACAGAAGGACCTAGGTCCTCCCGCCCGTGGGGCAGAGTCCCGTGCCCCCCCACCCCCCGCCGGGATTCTGCCTCCAGCGACAGAGCTGGGGTGCAGGCCACACAGACCGGGTGCCGGCAGCCTGGGCTTTGGGAAGGAAAGTCACCGCCCTTTCTCCCTGGGAAACACTGGCCCCGAGACAGGAGAAGGACGGCCTCCAGGCCAAGGCCCCGGCCAGGACCCAGCAGGGACCAGGGGACCCGGGCATTTCTCTTTCTCCCGGGTTCCCGTCCCGGGTTCCCGTCCCCGAGGCCCACGGTGTCAGGCCCGGCTGGACCTTCCCTGTCCTGTCCCGCTGGTTAGGGACAGAGATGTCGCTGGAGCCGAGGTGGAGCCTGGCTTCATCCTCTGTGAACGTGTCCCCTCCCCGGACCCTCAGTGCAGCGGCGGGAGGAGGAGGACCCCTGGCCCTCGGAGCGGTTCCCCCAGACCCTGCCCCATGTTAGGAACGTCGTGGGCCTGACGAAGCCCGAGGCGCCAGCGTCCGGCCAGGCCGGCGAGGGAGGGCTCAGGTGCGGGGCCCTCTGCCTCTGACCGGCCTGCAGACAGGACTTCCCCAGACCTGCCGGGCCCTCCCGAGGGGAGAGGGGGTGGGGGTCGCACCTCTAGATCGAAAGGGCCCCCGTGCTGACGCCCAGGAGAGGCTCAGAGGACACGGGGCTCTGGTGCAGTGGTTTGAGCAGCTGCCAGGCCATCCTCTCTCCACGCCCAGCACCAGGCCGGCTCTTGCTGGGGCCGTGGGCAAGCCCAGGGCTCCTTGAGGCAACTCAACAGCCACAGCCTCCAGCCAGCCATGCACTGACCAGGGAAAAACTAGCAGCGTTTCCAGGGAAGTGAAAGCAAAACCAGTCCGCCCTTCAGCCCCCCTCACACACACACTATGCCACACAGGGCACTAAAGATGCTGGCCAATGCAGTGAGACGGGAGGACTCGGGGAGAAGTGCCGCGCTGCGAACATTATTTCTGTATCCATTTCCTGGCGCCTGTGTAGGTCCCATGTGGAAGGCCCAATGCAAGCTCGGCAGGTGGATACGGAGATACCCGCTTCCCCTGAACAGCCTTTAAAACACATTTTTATTGATTTCATAGAGAAAGGGAGGGAGAGAGAGAAACATCCATGATGAGAGAGAATCATTGATTGGCTGCCTCCTGCAAGCCCTCCACTGGGGATGGAGCCCCCAACCCGGGTATGTGCCTTGACCGGAATGGAGCCCAGGACCCTTCAGTCCACAGGCCAGCGCTCTATCCACTGAGCCACACCGGCTAGTGCAGAGGGTGCAGGTTCAGAAACGGCCCCTCCTCCTGGGGGCGAGGCCTCCCTCTCAGGAATATCTCCAGGGGGTGGGGGTAGACACGTGCCGTCTGCGGGTGTCTGAGCCGCAGGGCTGGGCACTTGGTATCGAGTCCCGTGCTGTGAATGAGGGCGGGAGTCCGCGGGTTCTGTGGTGGATTCTGTGGAAGGAAGTGCAGGAGGGGAGGGTGGTGACGGGCCAAGGGCCCCTGTGGCATCCGGGCATCGATCCAGGGCCCACAGAGGGCAGAGGGTGAGTTCCGCCTCACAAGGAAGGGGCGTAGCCTCGCTGCCGGGGTGGCATAGGGTCTCCCGCCCGCACCTGCCTCAGAGCCTGGGAGGGAGGGCCACCGTCCAGGAGGCCCCAGCACTGACCTGTTCCCTCTGCTCTGCAGCTTCTCTGCTTTCCACGGTGGAGACCCTGGCAGCATCCACGGAAGGTACGCTTGTCACGTGGGATTTCTGTGCCCCACCCCCCCGCACCCTGACTGGGGAGAGGTGCAGGAGTGAGAGATGGGGTGCTCAGCTCCCAGGGCCTCTGAGTAAGGCCTTGGGCTGCAGGGTGTCCCCTTCCCGGAGCTCCAAGGTGGGGCTTGATGACCCACATTAAGGGGGTCCAGCCACCCAGGCCCAGGGCCCACCCCCGTGGCCCTCCCAAGCCATGCTGGCCCCTGGCCAGGCTCAGGCGCTGGGATTCGGGCTGCGGGGCCCAGCGAGGCAGGTGCACACCTCTGAGCAGCATCCTGGCCTGTGCCCTCCCTGAGCCCCCTTCAGGGCACCTCGGACAATCTCGGCACAGAAGGCCCTTAATCCTCCCTCCCGTGGGGCAGAGTCCCGTGCTCAAGGGGGCAGACACAGTGCCCAGGGATGGCAGTGAACATGTGATGAGGGTCCTCTGGGTACCAGGACCTGTGCTTGCCTCCTGGTTCAATAACCGGGCCCTGACTCTTTCTATCCAAGCTTCAGAGTCAGACCTCCAGCCACCAGTGAGTACCTGGCTCATGGGGGAGAGATGGGAAAGGTCTTCTGATGGGGAGGAACATGGCGGTCAGAGACGTGGAGGCATGCGGCTGGTCTCTCCCAGGCCTTCGACCCGATGACCCAGCCGAGCGGGAGGCTAGTGGACAGGCAGGGCGCACGTGCAGGAGGCACATGGGAAAGTCATACTGAGCGACCCGCCGTTTTGGAACGACTCCGTTTAAGGCCTCACCACAGCCATTCTCTTTGTTGTCCCTTCCAGACGCATGGACACCTCCTTCCACAGCTGCCTCTACTCAACTAACAACAGGTACAGGACCCATCACCCTCCCAGGGCCCTTCTCTGCTTCTGAATCACGCTCCATGTGGGCCATACCCATCCTTGCCCTGTAGGGGGGTGGAGCCAGAGGAGGGTCTCTGACCAGGTCCTTGTCTGACATGGTTGGCTGATGACTTGTCTCCAGGGGGTTCTGGGAGGAGGCTCAGCCAGGACCCTCCCCTTTGCTCAGTATCAGCCCTAGAGGCCACCTGGCACCTGCTGAGACCCCTGTGCTGGCTCACCCTCAGGGTGGATGAGTCTCTGTCCTCTCATGTCTGACAGAGGTCCCATCCCATCCGAGGGCTTTGCCTCAAGTCAGGTAGGACCACGGAGAATAAATAGGTGGCCAAGGAGGTCATGGCCTTGGCCTGTCCCTGAAGCCATGGACCTCCACCCTGGGTGGCTCTCGTGGATACGGGGGCAGTCCTCACCCCATGGGCAAGCCTGGGGCTCCCTACCTAGGACACCCTTAGACCTGGTCGGACAGGATGTCCGGATCCTTTCCCTGTGATGGAGATGAACCCCTGGGCATGTCCAAAGATGACCGTCTGTCCTTGGGCGTGGCCATGAGGGAGGCCCTGAGTCTATCTAGAACCTGCCTCAGGCCTGGAGCTCAGCACAGACATGGAGGAGGTGTCCTTGTGCCATCCTTAGATGTTGGGACCGATTCGGCTCTGGCCCTGAGGCTGGTGAATGGCGGTGACCGGTGTCAGGGCCGCGTGGAGGTCCTCTACCGAGGCTCCTGGGGCACCGTGTGTGACGACGGGTGGGACACCAACGACGCCAACGTGGTGTGCAGGCAGCTGGGCTGTGGCTGGGCCAGGTCGGCCCCAGGCAGTGCCCGGTTCGGACAGGGCTCAGGGCCGATCGTGTTGGACGACGTGGGCTGCTCAGGGCACGAGTCCTTCCTGTGGAGCTGCCCGCACAGGGGATGGAACTCACACAACTGTGGGCACGGGGAAGACGCTGGCGTCATCTGCTCAGGTGGGTCGCTACCGTCCCTGGTGGCTCTTCTTGGCAGATGCTGCTGAGAACAAGGCCACTCCCCTCGCCAGGGCCCCCCTGAGCCTCGTACTGTCCCCCAGGCACTGGAGTGACTCAGGGCAGCAGGCTCCCAGGTGCTAGGTCTCCTGCTCTGACTACACGTCAACTTGGTGGGTCCATGCGCCCAGTATCCTGAAGGCAGTGCCAGGAACTGTCTCGAAGGGGCCTGAGCTCCATGTTCAAGCACTAGAGGCAGCGTCCTGAGCACAGAGAGGAGCTTGGCTTTGTGCCCCCGGAACCAGCTCACTGTGACCTGCAGGGTGTCTGGGCTTCCACCAGGGCAGCTGGCCCCTGGGTGTGGGGGTTGGTAAGCACTTCCCCTCTGTGAGGATGGTGTCACCTGGGGGCTCCCAGATAGTGATGCAGAGGGGACACCCTGAGAGCACAGAGGTCCTTGTGAAGGACAGAGAGAGTGGGAGGGAGCAGGGGAGGTGGGAGATGGCAGGTGGCCAATGAATGGAAGGAGCCTATGGGATCTTGGGGATGGGGCATTGTGACCACATGGAAAAGTCTAGAAATCTGTGTAGACTCTCAATATCAGAATGGGTCAAGGTTGAGACATCACTATGCACATTGATTGACCCCATTTTTTGGGGTAATTTTGTGTTCACTCTCTGGGGTCAACACCAGGGCCCCAGTGGCCTGTCCCAGGCATGACACTGGCTTCCATTATCTGGACAGGAAGTCCTCAGGTTCAGGGAGGCAGGCGATGGCAGGGGACAATGGGTGTGGCTTTGGAAGGACTGCGAGGTTCAGGGCAGCACTGCTCTGTCCCCTTCCTGCCCCCCGAGGCCATGTGCACAGTATCAGCTCCGTGTGTAGTAGCTGAGGGTCACCAACTCGGGATCTGGGCCGGGCACCTGGGAGCTTGGTCTGACTGTCCCTTTCTTCCCACAGCTACTCAGGCCTCCACATCCTGGCCAGGTGAGTCCCAGCCACCACTCCTGGGATGTCCCTCTCTCCTGCACACCTGTGCAGGTCGGCCCTCTCCAGCTGACACATGGCTCTTTGGACCCCATCTGGACCACACTTTTGCCCTCTGTCTCCTTAACTAGAGGGGGTGGGGGCTTCCAAAGACTCCATCTGTCCTTTTTCCTTGTGAGTTCTCATCAGATACTTGGCGGCTGTCTCGGGGAGAGCGGCCGATGGTCAGAGAAGTGCCTCCCCTTCCATGAAGGTGGCCCCGTGACTCCAGGCTGAGGAGGGCTTTGTGGGATAGTGGACACTGATGCCCACTGGCTTTCTGGTGACGGGACAGCAGTTTTCTGGGTTCTCTCCTCCTCTCACACCTGCCGAACCCTGAGGGCCAGCATGGTCACTGCATCCCAAGGGGGTAGAGACAGTGCCCGGGGATGGCAGTGAACATGTCATGAAAGTCCTCTGGGTACCTGGACCTGTGCTTGCCTCCTGGTTCAATAACCGGGCCATGACACTTTCTATCCAAGCTTCAGAGTCATGCCAAAGCCTCAAGCTACCAGTGAGTGCCTGGCTCAAGGGGGAGAGATGGGAAAGGTCTTCTGATGGGGAGAAACATGGTGGTCAGAGAGATGGAGGATGCGGCTGGTCTCTCCCAGGCTTTGGATCCCGATGACCCAGCTGAGCGGGAGGCTAGTGGACAGGCAGGGCGCACGTGCAGGAGGCACATGGGAAAGTCATACTGAGCGACCCACCCTTTTGGGAACGACTCTGTTCCTAAGGCCTCACCACAGCCATTCTCTTTGTTGTCCCTTCCAGACGCATGGACACCTTCTTCCACAGCTGCCACTACTCAACTAACAACAGGTACAGGACCCATCACCCTCCCAGGGCCCTTCTCTGTCTCTGAATCACCCCTGGGATGGAACTTGAGAGGAAGAGGCTCCATGTGGGCCATACCCATCCTTGCCCTGTAGGGGGGTGGAGCCAGAGGAGGGTCTCTGACCAGGTCCTTGTCTGACATGGTTGGCTGATGACTTGTCTCCAGGGGGTTCTGGGAGGAGGCTCAGCCAGGACCCTCCCCTTTGCTCAGTATCAGCCCTAGAGGCCACCTGGCACCTGCTGAGACCCCTGTGCTGGCTCACCCTCAGGGTGGGTGAGTCTCTGTCCTCTCATGTCTGACAGAGGTCCCATCCCCTCTGAGGGCTTTGCCTCAAGTCAGGTAGGACCACGGAGAATAAATAGGTGGCCAAGGAGGTCATGGCCTTGGCCTGTCCCTGGAGCCATGGACCTCCAACCTGGGTGGCTCTCGTGGATACGGGGGCAGTCCTCACCCAATGGGCAAGCCTGGGGCTCCCTACCTAGGACACCCTTAGATCTGGCAGGACAGGACATCCTGATCCTTTTCCTTTGATGGAGATGAACCCCTGAGTGTGTCCAAAGATGACCGTCTGCCCTTGGGCGTGGCTATGAGGGTCCCCTGAGTCAAGAGCCTGCCTCAAGCCTGGAGTTTAGCACAGACATGGAGGAGGTGTCCTTGTGCCGTCCTCTAGATTTCGGCACCGATGCTGGTTTGGCCCTGAGGCTGGTGAATGGCGGTGACCGGTGTCAGGGCCGCGTGGAGGTCCTCTACCGAGGCTCCTGGGGCACCGTGTGTGACGACGGGTGGGACACCAACGACGCCAACGTGGTGTGCAGGCAGCTGGGCTGTGGCTGGGCCAGGTCGGCCCCAGGCAGTGCCCGGTTCGGACAGGGCTCAGGGCCGATCGTGCTGGACGACGTGGGCTGCTCAGGGCACGAGTCCTTCCTGTGGAGATGCCCGCACAATGGCTGGAACTCCCACAACTGTGGGCACGGGGAGGACGCCGGCGTCATCTGCTCAGGTACATCGCTACCATCGCGGGTGGCATCTGGGAAGATGCTGCTGAGAACACACCCACTTCCCTTTCCAGGGCCCCCCTGAGCCTCGTACTGTCCCCCAGGCACTGCAGTGACTCAGGACAGCAGGTTCCCAGGTGCTAGGTCTCCTGCTCAGACTAGAGGTTAAGTTGGTGGGTTCTTGTGCCCAGCATCCCGAAGGCAGTGCCAGGAACTGTCTCGAAGGGGCCTTAGCTCCGTGTTCATGCACAGGAGGCCACGTCCTGAGCACAGAGAGGAGCCTGGCCTTGTGCCCCCAGGGCCAGCTCACTGCCACCTGCAAGGTGTCTGGGCTTCCTTCCAGGTCCGCTGGTCCCTGGGTGTGGGAGTTGGTGAGCTCCTCCCCTCTGTGAGGACAGTGTCACCTGGGGGCTCCCAGATAGTGACACACAGGGGACACCCTGAGAGAACAGAGGTCCTTGTGAAGGACAGAGAGAGTGGGAGGGGGCAGGGGTGGTGGGAGATGGCAGGTGGACAATGAATGGAAGGAGCCAATGGGAGCCTTGGGGATGGGGCATTATGACCGCATGGAAAAGTCTAGAAATGGGTGTAAACTCTCTTTAGCAGAATGGTTCTAGGCTGAGAAATGAGTCTGCATATTGATTGACCCCATTTGGTGGGGTCATTACCCGTTCAGGCTCTGGGGTCAGCACCAGGACCCTGATGGCCTGTCCCAGGCATGACACTGGCTTCCATACTCTGCACAGGAGTCCTTAGGCTCAGGGAGGCAGGCGATGGCAGGAGACAGATGATGTGGCTTTGGAAGGACTGCGAGGTGCGGGGCAGCACTGCTGTGTCCCCTCTGTGGCCATGTGCACGGCGTCAGCTCCGTGTGTAGTAGCTGAGGGTCACCAACCCAGGATCTGGGCCGGGCACCTGGGAGCTTGGTCTGACTGTCCCTTTCTTCCCACAGCTGCTCAGACCACCACATCCTGGCCAGGTGAGTCCCAGCCATCTCTCTGGGATGTACCTCTCTCCACTTCCCCCTCTGCCTGTCGGCCCTCTCAGGCTGACTCATGGCTCTTTGGACCCCATCTGGACCACACTTTTGCCCTCTGTCTCCTTATCTATTGCGGTGGGGGGATTCCAAAGACTCCATCTGTCCTTTTTCCTTGTGAGTTCTCATCAGATACTTGGAGGCCGTCCTGGGGGAGAGAGGTCGATGGTCAGAGAAGTGCCTCCCCTTCCATGAAGGTGGCCCTGTGACTCCAGGCTGAGGAGGGCTTTGTGGGATAGTGGACACTGATGCCCACTGGCTTTCTGATGACGGGACAGCGGGCTTCTGGGTTCTCCCCTCCTCTCACACCTGCCGCACCCTGAGGGCCAGCATGGTCATACCCACATCCCAAGGGGGTAGATACAGTGCGCGGGGATTGCAGTGAACACGTGCTGAGGGTCCTCTGGGTACCAGGACCTGTGATTGCCTCCCGGTTCAGTCACCAGGCCCTGACTCTTTCTATCCAATCTTCAGAGTCAGGCCAAAGCCTCAAGCCACCAGTGAGTGCCTGGCTCATGGGAGAGAGATGGGAAAGGTCTTCTGATGGGGAGGAACATGGCGGTCAGAGACCTGGAGGGATGCGGCTGGTCTCTCCCAGAATTCGACCACGATGACCCAGCGGAGCAGGAGGCTAGTGGACAGGCAGGGAGCACGTGCAGGGGCACATGGGAAAGTCACGCTGACCGACCCACCCTTTTGGGAAGGATTCCTTTTCTAAGTCCTCACCACCCCCTTTCTCTTTGTTGTCCCTTCCAGATGCATGGACAACTCCTTCCACAACTCCAACCACAACTGCCTCTCCTCAAAACACAACGGGTACAGGACTCTTAAACCTCCCAGGGCCCCTCTCTGCCTCTGAATCATGTCCGGAATGGAACATAAGAGGAAGAGGCTCTCCGTGGGCCATCCTCATTCTTGTCCCTCTGGACAAGCAGAGGAGGGTCTCTGCCCAGGTCTTTGTCTAACATGGTTGGCTGATGTCTTGTCTCCAGTGGCCTTCTGGGAGGAGGCTCAGCCAGGACCCTCCCTGTTGCTCAGGGTCAGCCCTAGAGACCATCTGGCACCTGCTGAGACCCCTGTGCTGGCTCACCCTCAGTGGGTGTGAGTCTCTATCCTCTCATGTCTGACAGAGGTCCCATCCCCTCCGAGGGCTTTGCCTCAAGTCAGGCAGGACCATAGAGAAGAAATAAGTGGCCAAGGAGGCCATGATCTTGGCCTGTCCCCGGAGCCATGGACCTCCACCCTGTGTGGCCCTGGTGGATACGGGGGGCAGTCCTCACCCCATGGGCATTCCTGAGGCTCCCTTCCTTGGAGCACCCTTAGACCTGGCAGGACAGAATGTCCCAGATCCTATATCCGTAATTGAGATTAACCCCTGTGGTGTCCAAAGCTGAACGCCTGCCCAGGGGGTGGCCATGAGGGAGGCCCTGAGTCTAGAACCTGCCTTGGGCGTGGAGCTCAGCACAGACATGGAGGAGGTGTCCTTGTGCCGTCCTCTAGATTTCGGGACCGATTCGGCTCTGGCCCTGAGGCTGGTGAATGGCGGTGACCGGTGTCAGGGCCGCGTGGAGGTCCTCTACCGAGGCTCCTGGGGCACCGTGTGTGACGACGGGTGGGACACCAACGATGCCAACGTGGTGTGCAGGCAGCTGGGCTGTGGCTGGGCCAGGTCGGCCCCAGGAAGTGCCCGGTTCGGACAGGGCTCAGGCCCGATCGTGCTGGACAACGTGGGCTGCTCAGGGCATGAGTCCTTCCTGTGGAGCTGCCCGCATAATGGCTGGAACTCACACAACTGTGGGCACCACGAAGACGCCGGTGTCATCTGCTCAGGTGGGCTTCTGCCTCGCTGGTGGCCCTTCTGGGCTGCTTCTGCTGAGAACATACCCACTCCCCACGCCAGGGCCCCCCTGAGCCTCGTACTGTCCCCCAGGCACTGGAGTGACTCAGGGCAGCAGGCACCCAGGTGCTAGGTTACCTGCTCAGGCTAAACGTCCGTTTGGTGGGTTCACACTCCCAGCATCCTGAAGGCAGTGCGAGGACCTGGCTCGAAGGGGCCTGAGCTCCATGTTCAAGCACAGGAGGCAGCGCCTTGAGCACAGAGAGGAACCTGGCCTTGGGCCCCCGGAGCCAGCTCACTGTGACCTGCAGGGTGTCTGGGCTTCCACCAGGGCAGCTGGTCCCTGGGTGTGGGGGTTGGTGAGCTCCTCACCTCTGTGAGGATGGAGTCTCCTGGGGGCTCCAAGACAGTGACACAGAGGGGACAACCTGAGAGCACAGAGGTCCTTTGTGAAGGACAGAGAGAATGGGAGGGAGCAGGTGGAGGAGGGAGACGTCAGGTGGCCAATGAATGGAAGGAGCCAATGGGAGCCTTGGGGAAGGGGCATTATGACCGCATGGAAAAGTCTAGAAATGGGTGTAAACTCCCTTTAGCAAAATAGGTGTAGGCTGAGAAATCAGTGAGCATATTGATTGACCCCATTTGGTGGGGTCATTACCCGTTCTTGCTGGGGGTCAACACCAGAGCCCTGATGGCCTGTCCCAGGCTTGACACTGGCTTCCATACACTGGACAGGAGTCCTCAGGCTCAGGGAGGCAGGCGATGGCTGGGGACAGAGGGAGTGGCTTTGGAAGGACTGCGAGGTTCGGGGCAGCACTGCTGTGTCCCCCCGACCCCTCAAGGCCATGTGCACGGCGTCAGCTCCGTGTGCAGAAGCTGAGGGTCATCAATCCGGGATCTGGGCCGGGCACCTGGGAGCTTGTTGTCTGACTGTCCCTTTCTTCCCACAGCTGCTCAGACCACCACATCCTGGCCAGGTGAGTCCCGCCACGTCTCCTGGTCCCTCTCTCCTGCCCACCTCTGCCGATCGGCCCTCTCCAGCTGACCCATGGCTCTTTGAACCCCATCTGGTCCACACTTTTGCCCTCTGTCTCCTTAACTATGGGGGAGGGTTCCAGAGACTCCGTCTGTCCATCCTCCTTTTAAGTTCTCATCAGATACTTGGCAGCTGTCCCGGGGGAGAGTGGCCGATGGTCAGAGAAGTGCCTCCCCTTCCATGAAGGTGGCCCCTTGGCTCCAGGCTGAGGAGGGCTTTGTGGGAGAGTGGACACTGATGCCCACTGGCTTTCTGATGACGGGACAGCAGGCTTCTGGCTTCTCTCCTCCTCTCACACCTGCCGCACCCTGAGGGCTGGCATGGTCATACCCACATCCCAAGGGGGCAGAGACAGTGCCCGAGGATGGCAGTGAACATGTGATGAGGGTCCTCTGGGTACCAGGACCTGTGCTTGCCTCCTGGTTCACACACCAGGCCCTGACTCTTTCTATCCAAGCTTCAGAGTCAGGCCAACTCCTCAAGCCACCAGTGAGTGCCTGGCTCAAGGGGGAGAGATGGGAAAGGTCTTCTGATGGGGAGGAACATGTTGGTCAGAGACGTGGAGGGAATCGGCTGGTCTCTCCCAGGCTTTGGACCCCGATGACCCAGCCGAGCGGGAGGCTAGTGGACAGCCAGGGAGCACCTGCAGGAGGCACATGGGAAAGTCACGCTGACCGTCCCACCCTTTTGGGAAGGACTCCTTTCCTCAGGCCTTACTAAAGCCTTTCTCTTTGTTGTCCCTTCCAGACGCATGGACAACTCCTTCCACAACTGCGTATCCTCAAACAACAACAGGTACAGGACCCTTCACCCTCCCAGGGCCCTTCTCTGCCTCTGAACCACGCCTGGGATGGAACGTGACAGGAAGAGCCTCCACATGAGCCATCATCTTTCTTTGTCCCTGTAGGGGGGTGGGGCCAGAGGAGGGTCTCTGACCAGGTCCAGGTCTGACATTGTTGGCCTGTGACTTGTCTCCAGTGGGCTTCTGGGAGGAGGCTCAGCCAGGACCCTCCCCCGTTGCTCAGGGTCAGCCCTTAAGGCCTCCTGGCACCTGCTGAGACCCCTGTGCTGGCTCACCCTCAGGGTGTGAGTCTCTTTCCTCTCATGTCTGACAGAGGTCTCATCCCCTCCGAGGGCTTTGCCTCAAGTCAGGCAGGACCATGGAGAAGAAATAAGTGGCCAAGGAGGCCATGGCCTTGGCCTGTCCCCGGAGCCATGGACCTCCACCCTGGGTGGCCCTGGTGGATACGGGTGGCATTTCTCACCTCATGGGCAATCCTGGGGCTCCCTACCTAGGAGCCTCCTTAGACTTGGTTGGACAGGATGTCCCGGTCCTTTCCCTGTGATGGAGATGAACACCTGAGTGTGTCCAAAGATGACTGCCTCCCCTGGGGGTGGCCATGAGGGAGGCCCTGAGTCTAGAACCTGCCTTGGGCCTGGAGCTCAGCACAGACATGGAGGAGGTGTCTTTGTGCCGTCCTCTAGGGTTTGGGACCGATTCGGCTCTGGCCCTGAGGCTGGCGAACGGCGGTGACCGGTGTCAGGGCCGCGTGGAGGTCCTCTACCGAGGCTCCTGGGGCACCGTGTGTGACGACGGGTGGGACACCAACGACGCCAACGTGGTATGCAGGCAGCTGGGCTGTGGCTGGGCCAGGTCGGCCCCAGGAAGTGCCCGGTTCGGACAGGGCTCAGGCCCGATCGTGCTGGACGACGTGGGCTGCTCAGGGCACGAGTCCTACCTGTGGAGCTGCCCGCACAGTCCCTGGAACTCACACAACTGCAACCACGGGGAGGACGCCGGCGTCATCTGCTCAGGTGCGTCGCTACCATCCCTGGTGGCCCTTCTGGGCTGATGCTACTGAGAACACGCTCACTTCCCATGCCAGGACCTTGACTGAGCCTCGTACTGTCGCCCAGGAACTGCAGTGACTCAGGGCAGCAGGCTCCCAAGTGCTAGGTCTCCTGCTCAGACTACTGGTCAGATTGGTGGGTCCATGTGCCCAGCATCCTGAAGGCAGTGCGAGGACCTGGCTCGAAGGGGCCTGAGCTCCATGTTCAAGCACAAGAGGCAGCGAGCTGAGCACAGAGAGGAGCCTGGCCTTGTGCCCCCGGAGCCAGCTCACTGCCACCTGCAGGGTGTCTGGGCTTCCACCAGGGCAGCTGGCCCCTGGGTGTGGGGGTTGGTGAGCTCCTCCCCTCTTTGAGGACGGTGTCGCCTGGGGGCTCCCATATAGTGAGGCAGAGGGGACACCCTGAGAGCACAGAGGTCCTTTGTGAAGGACAGAGAGAGTGGGAGGGAGCAGGGGGAGGAGGGAGATGGCAGCTGGCCAATGAATGGAAGGAACCTATGGGGGCTTTGGGGATGGGCTATTATGACCTCATGAAAATGTCTAGAAATGGGTGTAAACTCTCAATATCAGAAATGGTCAAGGCTGAAACATCAGTGTGCACATTGATTGACCCCATTTGGTGGGGTCATTGCCCATTCATTCTCTAGGGTCAACACCAGGGCCCCAGTGGCCTGTCCCAGGCATGACACTTGCTTGTATACATTGGATAGGAAGTCCTCAGTCTCTGGGAGGCAGGCGATGGGAGGAGACAGAGAGCATGGCTTTGGAAGTACTATGAGGTGCGGGGCACACTGCTGTCTCCCCTCCCATCCCCCCTCCAGGGCATGAGCAGGGAATCAGTCCGTGTGTAGAAGCTGAGGGTCCACAACCTGGGATCTGGGCCGGGCACCTGGGAGCATGGTGTCTGACTGTTCTTTTTCCCACAGGTGC